TGCGTAAAAACTATGAATGCTACAAGATTTTACCAAGAGCACAAAAATCTCGAAAAAGGACTCAGGCATCAATAAAACTAAAATGAATTAATTCCAGCTACCAAATAAAAAGTTCTGATAATTCTTGTACCAAGACACTCAAGAATTTACCACTAGCCCAAGGCGGATAGACGCGGTTGCTTCATCAAAACATGAGTTTTACTTAGGAACAAGTCCACAGCAAGTTTCATTAAAATCCATAGTAACATTCTCGAGATATTACAAAAAACATATTTTTTTTTTTCAAGAACTTTGACAGTCAATAGCAGAGGAGCCAGACAATTTTTCTTTTACAAGGTCAAGGTTAGGTCAAATCGCCTTCTTTTGAGCCAAAGAATGGCGCAGTACCTTTTTGATCATGTGCTTATGGGACACCTTGTACATATAAAATAGGAAAGTTAGCTTTTCTAAGGTTGTAACATTTTTCGTTAACATTTAGAAAAAAATATATATTTGATCGATGCATTGGGGACACGTTATGTTACCCTCTGCACAAATAAATCTAATAAGTTTTGCCTGAGTATTAATAATTGTGATCCTACTATGTAATTTTATCCTAATGCGAAAATTTTAATAACGTAACCACACCATTACTTTTGTTATAGGCTGTACCGTTTACCATACCGTTTTTTGGAGCCGTATCATTTTTGACTGCGGCTCTACTGGAACTATTTCTATACTGTTATTCCGGCACCCTCTTGTTTGAGGAGGTAAGGTAACTACTGTGCAAATAAACAACTCTTATACTGATAAATTTGTGCTGACCATTGTTTCTAAAGGTACTATTTTATTTTAGAGTGGTACAATAGTGACGGCTATATACATGAGCAACTGGTATAACTACGACAAAAAATCCAAGAAAGCCCTTCTCACTATGATGGAAAGGGCTAAGAGGCCCATGATGGTTACCGCTGGAAAGCTTATGAACTTTTCTCTCGAGACCTTTTCTACGGTTACTAAGTCGAATAGTAGGCCAAGCAAATAAAATTTTTACTCGAAAAAAGTCCTATCCGCGAGATTATTGTAAAATTGTCTAAAGGAACATGAATACAATACATCTCTCATCTCGTGAGTCAAAAAATGTTATTAGCTAACTTTTCTATTTAAACAAATAAGTGACGAAAACAGTTTTTTCACGTTGCAGGGAAAACCATCAATTTTAGCGAAAAGTGACTCTCAGACAGCTTGTAGGGAATAAAATGATCTACAAAATGAGATTTGTTAATTTAAAATCGATTAATATACAAAAAAAGTTATTGCAAAAAACAAGAAAAGTGCCCATTTTTTAATTTGTTTATAATTATCGCATTTATTCTTGAAATTTTATAAAACCTATGACAAGTTGAGGGTTTTGTCATACTTTAAAAGTGTGCCAAAAGTGGACGCTGTAGGTGCAATAGTTTTCGCACAATTCAATTTGTTTATAACGGAGGCTCCAAAAGTGATGAACTTTAAGCCTCTGTACAGGCGTTAATTTTCAACCAAACATGATTCTGAAAGCGTCAATGTAATCTTAAAGACGTAATTAAGCGACCTATTAAAAAATATCACCGTTTTTTTGACATTAACATTCTCAAATTGTGCATTAAAAAACCGTGCGTTTTTCGCTTATAAACAATTTGAATAAAATTGTTGCTATTTCTGCTACCTCACCGAAAATAGATGCAATGGATAGCTGGCAAAAAAATACAAATTTTTAAAAAAGTACCCTCTACGACCAACAGGAGCAAAGATAAGAATTTTTTTAAATCAGTTCAAATTGATGCGCGCTGTAAATTTTCCAATATCTCGGCTTCTATTCATCGTAGAAACTTCTTTTTTTTTAAACTAGGGTAGCTCGATGAAAAAATAACAATGGGCATATTTACCAATTCGTAGAATAGCCCTGAACCCCAGAAAAAATGCCTCTTTTATACTTAATTTATTTTTAATTTACAAAAATGTCAAAAATTATTGTTAAACGAATATTAATTAAAATTTCAATTTCGAAATTATTTTACTATTATTAAGTAAATAAATGAAGCTATCGTTCATTTAAAAAAATATTTTTTTACATATTAAGTAAACTTAATTTTTCAATATTTTGTCAGTTATTTAATTACGATTTAAATGTAAAATTAAAGTAAAAATTCACAAATCATTTTCAATTATTTATTGTTAATAGATTTAAAAAAAATAAAAAGCATTTGAATTTGTTGCAAAATTCTCAAAATTAAAAAATATTAATAAAAATAATGCGGTCGATAAAATTACAATTTTCACTTCTTGAAAGGTGGTGAATTTGATTCCATATCATTTTCTTCTTTATCATATGAATCTTTGCAACATCAAAATTAATTAAAAAAATATTAATCACAACCATTTTCAATAATAGATATAATGCAATATAATACAACAATTTAAAATTTAAAATTGTTTTTATTTTTATGAGAAATAATAATTTGAAAATAATTTGTGAATTTTTACTTTAATTTTACATTTAAATCGTAATTAAATAGTTAACAAAATATTGAAAAAACAAGTTTACTTTGCCTTAATATGTAAAAGAAATAACTTTTTAAATGAACGATAGCTTCATTTATTTATTTAGTAATGGTAAAATAATTCCGAAATTGAAATTTTAATTAATATTTCGTTTAACAATAATTTTTGTGACATTTTTGTAAATTAAAAAANCTGTCGCCGTCGTATTTCGAATTTTTTGTGAACACGAACATTTAGATGGGGCAGAATTTATTTCCGGCATAAAGTTGAGAATTGTGCTCTAAATGTTCAAATAATAATATTTTACAACCCCCTAGACGTGCATCCAAAGAAAAACGAAGGTGGTTTTGAGTTGCATACCGTGGCTGGGGAAACCGTGGATAACATCACACAAACTTTTCATTTTTCGGTAATGAAATAAATATTTTATTCGGAGTCGATCCTGAGGTACTTTTGCAGCCTGGAACTATACAATATTTGTACAATCCTCGGTTTCGACCCATTTAGACATAAAAACAATAATTAACGAAACTGCGAATCGATCCACATATCGTATGTATTAACACAGAATGGGAAGAGAGCGAGCGTGAGCGGAGTGCTCTATTATGACGTCAGGCAATGGTTGCTCAACGTTTTTCCGCGCTCTGTTTTCATTAATTTATTTCACACATTTCTCGTTGAAACAAAAAATTGATTTTTGGCATACTAACTAATTAAAGGGTAAACTTTTGAAATATGCAATAAAAAATTTTTACTGAATGGGCCTATTGGGCTACGATGTTTTAAAAAACAATTCTTATCTTGGCTCCTGTAGGTCGTAGCGGGCAGTTTTTTTTTAATTTGTATTTTCTTGCCAGCTATCCATTGCATCTATTTTCGGTGAGGTAGCATAAATAGCAACAATTTTATTCAAATTGTTTATATGCGAAAAACGCACGGTTATTTAATGCACAATTTGAGAATGTTAATGTCAAAAAAACTGTGATATTTTTAAATAGGTCACTTAATTACGTCTTTAAGATTACAATGACGCTTTCAGAATCATGTTTGGTTGAAAATTAACGCCTGTACAGAGGCTTAAAGTTAATGACTTTTGGGGCCTCCATTATAAACAAATAGAATTGTGCGAAAACTATTGCTCCTACAGCGCCCACTTTTGGCACACTTTTGAAGTATGACAAACCCCTCAACTTGTCATAGGTTTTATAAAATTTTAACAATAAATGCGATAGTTATAAACAAATTAAAAAATGGGCACTGTTTTCATCACTTATTTGTTTAAATAGAAAAGTTAGCTAATAAAATTTTTTGACTCGCGAGATTATGTTCCTTTAGACAATTTTACAATAATATCGCGGATAGGAATTTTTTAGAGTTTCTCTTTTATTTTCGCTAATTTTCCTGGTGTATAGCAATACAAGGACTTTAATCGTATGTAATTCCAGGTTATACGCAGATCTTACTCACTTTTGGCAGTTCTGAAGAATAATTAATTCAGATTTTGCAAGATTTTGAACTAGTTTTTTTTCGTAACGGAACCACTTTACGCCGTAGCAGCACAAAGGGATTACAAGTTACAGTTTTTACAGTTCATGTATAGATATTGTCATAATTATAGAAGGTCACTTCAGCTGTATTGAGATACAGTGTCAATAGTTCAATAATTTATGTAGAATAAAGTTAATTTGTCTTAAGTAGTAAAATATGATTATTAATAAGTTGTGTAATAATAAACTAATTGCTTTAAATTGCACAATAAAGATTGAAGAACATACGAGTGTGTATTTCCCATGGGTAATGTTTCAATAATATGCACTTGCTGCTTTCAACTGTCAGCGGTGAGTCTTTTTTTAATATAAAATTTGCGGTTGCTATAATTAATATAAAAATAAAGGATCTAAAACCATGACCTTCTGCGACAGAATCACATAGAAAGTGAAACTATCAGTGACTCAGATATTGTGTACTAAAAAAATTGTTGCAGGTGCCCACCTACCAATCCACATCATCAATTTCCAACATTTTTACATGTTTAACACTTAAAACTAAACTATTTCTGTTTATTGGCCATCTAGAATTAGATTAAGCGATAATTTAATCTCAAGGATTCTTCATAGAAATGCCGGGTGAAGGAAAAAATGATTTACAAAAAGAAAACAGTAGAATATTTTTTTTCGAAAACAATATTATCTTGGACAAAAAAATATGCATTTGTTGGTCTTGTAATAAATAACTGCGTTTCGGTTTTAGTACGCCTCATCAGTCACACAATTGCAACCAGTTATCCAAGACTTTTCTAGTTCTACGTTTACCATAACTTTGTTATTCCATATTAAACCATTTTATATGCTCCCACTATAGTACATTGTTCTTAAGGAGGTAAGTGGATTTTACCGTAGAAGTGGACAACGGGAGGTAAGTGAGATAACTTACCTTCCTAGGGAAAAAAGCGATTCCGAGTTATAAATGCATATTTTATGTAACAAATAAATAGATATATTTGATGAACATTCTATTAATTATTATGAATGGATATTTATAGTAATTGTACAGTTATATCATTTAGTAACATTTATAAAATCTGGATAATTATTCCCCTCGCGTTTATTAATTGTCACATTTTTCTCAAAATGATTTGACCGCTCCATTTCAGTCACCGGAAGCTCAATATTAGCTATATTTGTTTTACACACTTGGTCACTTTGGTTAATTCACTTTTAGTAGAGTTCTGACCAAGTTCGTTTTTTTTAAACAAGTGAAGTGAACAAGATAACCGAACAAAACATAACCTATAAATAATAATCATAAATCTAAATAATAAAAATAAGGCGTTGATAATGGATATGGATTCATCTGAAAATGTTGATTTGAAGTATGTTAAATTAATTACTAATTAAACTGAAATTGAACAGACGTCATAAGTCAAAATTTAAAATAAAGTAGATGTGTGTTTTGTTTAACCTAAAGTTAGTTCAAATCACGGTCACTTCTAATTTGGTCGATTTGACCAAATTGAACTAACCAAGTGGTAAAACAAATACTATTATCTGACTGATCCATTAACACAGGATGATGCGACGTACTACTAGAACCTGGAGTTGAAGTGTCATCGGAAAGAATCCTGTTAACTATTTCATTGTCGTTACTTAACATATGTCAGCAACATAACTTTCTGCAATTGTGGCTGATTTCCATCCACCATGTCTCTTGATTGCTAATACATCAACTTCTGTATTAGCCATTAACGTTGCCGATGTTCTTCGGAATGAATGGCCTGTATATGTTTCAGTATGTTCTAGTTTCAAAAACCGTGCAATCTTATTAGGAATCATAGAAAGGGCATTCTTGCCGACTGGTTGGTTATAGCATCTACCTGTTTGATAGCGCATAAAAAAGCGTGAAATTTCAGTTTTAATTTCTAATCTAATCTTGACATATTTCTCGAGAATTTCTAAGTGAGAGACAGAACCCAGACGAGAAGTAATTGTAAACGTACGAGATAGACCATTTTTAGAATCTGGAATTGTAACTACAATGTCAGCGAAATGTTTGAAATTGACGTTGTCCAAAGTAAGTTTGCATCATCAGAAGGGCATGCAACTTTTATGTAGCTTTGTTTATAAAAGCTTTAGAAACGACAAAATCCAAACAACCAAGGTGACTTTGCAAGAGTATATTTCATGAACCATAAAGGAATGTGAGGGCAGATAAAATGTTATACACCACGCAGCAGTTAAGTATAATTTGTAAATAACTATTTTTCTCAATTCTATGATTTAATCTTTTAATGTTATTATGCGTTTGAAAACAGACATAAATATTTGTCCTATCTGATAGTGATTCAAAAGGAAACTGGTTTGGAACCACTGTTTTTTTGGAAATACAGTTCTTTAGCAGCATCCTGTGTGGGTTGATAATCCATTTTGGTAAATAACTGTAACACTTTATTTATTATTCATAACTAAGGCAGCCTATTTTTAGGAATATGGTGACAGAAAATTTTTATGGATGGTGTCAACCTTGAGGCGACCATCTGTGCAGAAGATCCTGAAAACACCAGTAATTTATTATGATCTATATTAGTTATTAAACTGATACACTAAGAAAAATGTTTCTTTGCCATACACCACTAATCTATAATTATTTACACTTTCATTGATTCAACTAAAATGTTTTATCAACTTATACACTGACTACTGTATTATTTATAATAGGATTCAAACGAATTTTAAAATGCTATGTTTTTGTTCAACATTAATAAACAAATAAAAGCAAAAGTATATTAAATTTACAAGGCAAATTCAAATAAATGTTGTTTACGACGCTATTATACTATAAATTTTCCTATTTAAAATTAATTTATAATTTAATTTAACATAAAGAATTACATATTTAATGTATAACGTTCTGATTCGAAGAGTTCTTTAAAATGTCAAGATTTAAATAAAATCTGATACAAAAACATTTCGAATCGTTGCCTCGATCGACTAATTAAAGATAAATTGACGATTCGAGGCAACTTTTTCATTCTAGAACTACAGGTGCATCCAACAGCATAATTAATAAATAAGGCTAAACAATACGTCACACAACTAAAAAAATTTTAAATTCCGGAATTGAACTTTGTTCTTGCATAAATAACTTTTTATTGATAGAAGTTTATTTCCCTAAAAATTTGTCCGCATACTGTAAAGAGAACCAGAAAGTAGCGGTGTTCCATAAGAATCCGTTCCAGGGCCACTTACCGTCGCTGATGTAAATAAATGACAATAATATGTCAAAAGATCTCGTCTTGATGGAAAAGACTGAAACCCACGCAAATCACACCGGGAAATCTCTTGAACCTCTTTCTTATATACACACACAATTCTTATTGTTGCTTATTTCAGATCAGGAAATTATTTACTACTGGCAGTTCTGAAGAATTATTAATTTTTTATATACAGGGTCAGAAAGTCCCCATGGTTCATCGGACGTTACGTGAGAGCGATAAAGTAAGTCATAGAAATCCGTGCGACAGAGAAAGATGGTTATAATGAAGGCGTCTCATAGTCACCGCCCGTTTCGCCCTTCCACAAATAAGATCCACTTCCACTTGTAATTCAGCGACCGGTGGTCATCTTTGTTTTCGTCGTTTGGCTTTTCTTTAATAGATGTCACTACTTATACAATTTCGACTTCGGTATTCCGATATGTTAATACCATCCGTTAACAGAGGGCAGCACAACGCGTAACAAAGAAAACTTTTTACAGTAGCTAGTAGATACCTCTGTTTGTAAATCTAGTGACCTTGTTTCCCCTACTGAGAAGTTATTCAAATGGAGTATAGTGCTCAGCTGCATTTAAAGTTCATTTAGTTGTTATTTAAGTATACTTTTTAAAATGACTTAAAAATCCCAAGAAATAAAGCAAAATTCCCTATTTCCCCAATTCCAAAAAAATCTGTAGATCTGGCATCACTCTTTCTAGGGCTGCGCCTCACCTTAGACAAATTGTGCTGCCCTCTGTTAACGGATTGTATTAACATATCGGAATACGAAGTCGGAATTGTATAAGTAGTGACATCTATTACAGAAAAGGCAAACGACGAAAACAAAGATGACCACCGGTCGCTGAATTACAAGTGGAAGTGGATCTTATTTGTGGAAGGGCGAAACGGGCGGTGACTATGAGACGCCTTCATTATAGCCATCCTTCTCTATCGCACGGATTTCTATGACTTACTTCATCGTTTTCACGATGAACCATGGGGACTTTCCGAACCTTTATATATTCCAGTTTACATTTCAAATTGCACAATGTTTCTGATAATTCATCGGAAAGTTTCTATCCAAAAGAATGTACATCATTAAGCAGATGTGTATGCAACATAAATTTTAATAAGGAAAAGTCCAGAAGGTGTTCCTTGAGGCACTACAAAATCAATTAATTTAAATATTCGATATTACAATATGTTTTGTAATTTTTTAATGTTGGAATAATCTTGTCAAGGTGCCAATTTTTTTAATAAAAAAAAAACATAAAACAAGTAATGAACTATAAAAAGAAGATGTATTACCTGTAAAGTGGCGATTTATAAAAATAACGAATTTTTCTCTGCGGCAATACATCACAACACCATATCTTTTTATGGGGCCAATAGCACCGTCGAAAAAATAAAAATATTTTTATATTTAAGTTCTATCCGGTTTAGTAACCTGTCTGATTCCACAGGCGGTGATACAACGACAAAAATGGTGGATTTTCCCAAAATTTCAAAATATCTATAGAATTACGTAACACAAAAAGTTTTAATCGAGATTCTTGTTGTTCAAGTTGCTAATATTCACGCCCCAGTGGCGTAGGGCAAAAGTATTTCGCCCCGTTGATGACAAATTCAAAAAGCCCTGTATACCAAGATTTTCTACACGTATAAACATAATATTTATTTTCCTGCACCTTTAAACCATATTTTGAGCGGTTTACAGTGCATATATTTAATTAAGATACAGTG